TGTTCTGCTTTCATGTTTTGAAACTGGTGCAAAATGAAAGACCTGGCCGGCATGCGTGTGAACGCAGCCAAACCGAAAAGCCTAGTGTATCGAAGTACCTCTGATTAGTGTTCACTGGTGATGAAAAATTGGAGGAGGAGGAGATCGACCGGTGGAATGGAATTCCTAGTGGTGTTCCCCCCGAACTAGCCCCACAGAACAAACATCAGCAGCGACCGAAAGGATCTTAAGCTCGTAAGATTCATTGGAAAGCAAACAACACTACACGCATGCCGGAAACTCTAAACTGATAGCCACCGAGATTTCCGCTTCCGTTATCAATAACCTTAGATACTAACGATAAACCCTCTACCTCAGCCTCAGCAAAATGCGTGTCATAACTCGAAACGACTCGCCCATAAGCGAGTATCAACGCAAGCATGACTGAACCGAGAAGCATCCGCTGATCACCTCTGTGGTCAAATGACGATTGTCTGTGGAATGGCGAAGATACTTAAAAGAATGAGATTCGAACTCGTGGTTGCTTGAAAGCAAATGCATTTAAGACCTGACGTCATGGTTATCTGCATCTACCGGAAGAACTTGAATATCCGATAAGATCGAGGTTTCGAACGGCCTCGAACGACGCTCTTAAAACACGTTTTTCTTGTAATCTAAATGAATAATCAGAGAAGAGTCCATCGAGGCTTGTTAGAAACTGCATTGAAAGCTGCGACGAGTCGAACGTATGACTGCCATTCGTGCTGTGTAAAACAGATATCTACACGTTCAAACAACACTGCCGCTTTCAGTCAGGCGGTTGACCACGACGTTACTGCTCAAGGAACGGCTTTCGACGCCTTCGAAACTTTCCGCTCTTTGAAGACGGAAGTACAGATAGGAAGTACAATAGAGAGTAGTGATATCATCATCGTCGTAGAACAGTGCAACGTAGATTGACGAGATTCAATCTACTTAAACCGAGAGTGTTTGATGCGTACAAAGCAGAAATGTCTGTTTTGACTAATCTAAAGAGGCAAATAATGAGTTTTCTTCAAAGAGGTTATGAATCTGGGCCCATATTCATCAGAATGGAATAGCATTACTTTTAAGCGTCGACGAGTTTATTATCATAATCGACAATATCCTTAGAATTGAATAAGCGAACAACTCAAGTCAAGATTATGGCACAGTAAGAAAGGTTTGAAATATGAATTTCAGCTGGAAGATGCCACCTCGGTGTTAAATGGAATTTGGCGTGGCGGTGCTTCTACCTCCAACCGTTTGAGCATGGCCTCTCTAGGTATCGTTATGTTAACGTAACACTGCTGCTCGACATTGCTGGAAGAATGGAAAGAAGCAGAGCTGTCCCCTAGTGATCTCACTAATTATGACCAATTAGATCCAATTGTTTGGAGCAATGACCCGTGATGTTTTCTTTACTTCCGATGATAAGATTTATCTCCAAGCCTATAAAATACCAATGGGAGCCCCCTCCAATGTTTCC